AGGTATCAGTCCATCCATGGTTATTATTATTATAAATGAAGCATTGTGGTATAGAGATCTTCTACAGACACAAGGGAATGTACTTTTTATAGTCTGCAACATAAATCACATCATCACCTTTAACTTCCTTTTTTTGGGGGGGAAGAAAAGACATTAAAAAAATGTCCATTTCCACTAAAACTGTGACTCATCGCGCAAAATCTGTCAAAAATAATCGCATTTTCTTTTACTGCTTTGCATATCGTGCAGTGACATCTTGCCGTGGCAGCATTCGTGTTTCTCGCTAGTTTTCCCTCTTTGAACTCACCCTTGTGTTTGCCTCCTTCCTCACAGGTTCTGCAGACTCAGTGGTCGTCCTCTCGCAGCCACATGAACTGGTGACCATGACAACGGAGGGCCATACATATGGAGAAGATGTGGTCGCTCTGCTGTAGTCGGCCATTACGACAAACATCGCACTCTCACACACACACACACTGGCTGACAGTCACAGCGGACTCAAACATAGACGTCTATTTGTAAAAAGATTAATCACAGACTCTAACCCTTGTAGATATTTGTAATTAGCAACTAATGATGGTTTTATTTTGACAAGTGTGAAGTGGCAAAGTTTGTACAAAACAACATTTTTCCTCACATTTTTGAAAAAAAAAAAATGCTCCCAAAGAAATACTGAGACGGGTTTTATGAGACTATAATGACCAGGAAATGTTATGTGCATTCATCATTGTAAACAGAAGTCTGAGGTTGGGAAAAATAAATCATTGAAGTGATTGTCAGAAATAACCCAAAAGATCAGCCGCCGTGTTTCCATGTCAGGGTGCAGCACACTTTGGAGAAAATGAGAATTATTGACATGCTTTGGATTGAATAAACTAAACTTTGTTGTGTCTGTAGAAGGAAGCGATGCAAGATACTCTACACATTTGTTTGCCAGCCGCTGAAAAATCTTGAAAAAGAAACAAATCTTTGGCATTTGAAAGAGAAAAATGGAGTGATGTCAATTAGAACAACAGTAATTAATCTTTCATGTTAGCTGGTACCGGCTGTGTTTCATGCTGTCCAGAGATAAAGAAATACCTGATCAGTCATGTGAGAGCTTATTCAGAAAAGTAGTTTCCATCTCCCACAGCACATTAACTATTTCTAAAAAAAAAAAGTAAAACCATCTCACATCAGCATAAAAACACTTTGGAGCAAGTTTCTTTTGGATCTGGCTGCTAACTTTGTATCATGGAAACACGGCGAATGGCTGATTTGTCAAATTGAAATGTACCAGACATGTGAAACCCATTATCCTTATTGCTAATAACAAAAGAGTTGACATTAAAATCAGACAGCTCAGTATGTCCCATCGCTGCATGTAAACACTGGTGTTGCGCAGCTCAACAAGGCCCCCCTCCCCTCCCCGTAAAACATCTCAAACCAATTGTGTATCCAGTAACTCTGAGTCTTATTGGTAACATCTTTCATTCAGCCTCCAGTGCTTCACTTGTTCTCTGAGTAAGGCAACACATTGCTCATTTACAGCTCGACATATTAGCACTTGAGAATAAAAGAAATTAAGAATTACTCACGAGGTTAGTTCTGCCTTTGTGAAACAAACAGCAGATGCCTGGGGCTGTTAGATAAGGTAGTGCACATTACTTGTTTTGTTAGCGAGCGCCGCCTCGGTCGGCGTCTCAGCACCAGTGTCTGTTTCCTCGCTGCTCCTCAGTGGATCTTCAGGTTGTGGAAGTGGTCCAGCGTCGCGCCGAGAGCCCAGCTAGCCTCCACGTTGTTCACTTTCTTGGTCAGCTGGGAGGAGGAGAGAAAAATCACCAAATCACGCAAATGACTTTTGTATTTACAGAAATAAAGAAGTAACAGAATTTTGTGTATAATTGCTTCTTTTCATTCTTGGTTTCCATGTGTACAGGGAATTACTAAATATGTGTGAGACACAGAAATGAACATGTTCTACATTCAAGCCAGACAAGGTCACATGATGCTCATTAAGCTTCAAACATATTGTGAGAGGGTCATATTTTAACAGCAACTGTGATATTTTATAATAAACCGAACATAGTTTTAGGAACAGCGAGTGGAAACATATCTTAAGAATTAATGAGACACTACTCCTGGTCTCCTGGGTAAAAGTCCTGCTCTTTCCTATGCTGTCCTCGTCTTACACTTCGTTGGTAAAATACATTTCTTTTAAAATGAGAATGCAGTTTAGTCGTATAGAAGCGTATGTTTAGGGAAGTAAAGCTGTGCTGCACATCCTAAATAACTTGCATCACTTCAGAACAACGTTACAGAACAAAGGATTTCTCATCTGGCTGCTTTGACTCCTTCAACCTTGCATCTTTCTCACATCCTAGTCGACCCTGGCTTGTCTTAAACACATGAGCTCTGGCCAGACGTCACTAAGCGTCACAGAACTACCTGCAGTCCAAGTGACCACCTCCTCTGATTGCTGCAGTAGTAAAAACTAAGAAGCTCAACTTCAGGTGCAGCGTCTGGGGCAAGAATTTCCTTTGGCATTAATAAAGTTTTGTCGTTTCTTAACCGAGTACCATGGCTAATCTACAATACGTGTACTCAACATGCATGAAAGACATCAGCAGACTTTGATGTGTGGAAAGTAATACAAGCCAAGGTTCCAGTTTTAGATCCAAAAACGATCATGTGGATTCATGAGCTCTAGCTGGAGGCCATCGAGCATCCCAGAAGGCTTTATCATGGTGCTCGTTGCTAGCTAAACTCCCACAATGCTCTCTGTCTACACAAAACTACCCCTACTCCAAGTGACCTAATTCCTGCAGCATTAATCTCTAATATATCTTGCTCTGACGTGCATGTAGAGAACACAGGTTTTCAAAATGTTTGAACCTTGTGGAGCCAAAGTACATCCTACAATCTCCCCACTACATTTCTGAAGCTTCTAAACAAGTTTTCCGACCACCTATGTGACTTTAAAGAACAGCCTGGATGCAGAGATGCTTTTATTTAAACCTTGGATTGATTTTAATCAGTTTAATGTACCTAAAGCGTGTATCATCCAGGAAAACGCTATTGGATTGGGACTCAGTATCTGCAGATGCTAAATATTAAATGACTCAGATTGAAGGAAAGAAAAAATATCTTGATTGGGAAATCCCTCGGCACAAGTGAAGGAAGTGAGGAGACGCATTAGCATAATAAAAAGCACCCCGGTTCTGTTGGTGTTGTTGCGTAACACTTGCTCACCTGCAGCACAGTGCTCTCCTTGAAGCCAAAGCCATCCTTGAGTAGACAAGTAATGTAGGTCATGTCCATGCACAGGAAAGGACTGACGGGAGGGTACTTGGTCATCTTATTGCACACTAGGCAGAGAAAAGGGGAAATGGTGTCTGTTAGGTTGGATAATCAGTCATCTGTATTCAGCCGAGAGGACGACGGCAGGGTTTCAGAAGGAAACGAGCTCCATTGAGATGCACCAAGTGTCTCAAGTACAGGGAGCTGCAGATCTGTCAGGAGTCGTGATGCATTCCTTCGCCCATCTCACCCTCTTTGGCTCTCTTCTTGAAGTCTCTGACCTCCAGCATCCCTCCTTGGACGCCATCTGCAACAGGGAATGATCGGGGTCGTCTTACATTTTAAATGCTATACCATTCATTACAGGAGCAGATCTACATGCGCATTTCCATAACACTAATAATAGAGCTTGTGGCCTTTAAGCTTTGGACCGGCAGAGGATAGCAATTTCTGTAATACCCGCACACCTATAGCTCGTCAAATCCCCTGAGACAGGTGCAGATGACTCACATTTTTCTGCCTCTGTCTCGCATGTCGAGCATTGGAATGGGTAATAACACCCTGCTGGGTCTGTATAATTACACGAGGTGTGTACGCAGGGCGCGAGCATGTGTGTGCGCTCACCGATAAGGCCTGCATCCACGGCTCTGTCAAAGTAATAGGAGAACGCGTAGAAAACATTGCTGACTTCGAGCTCGTGCGGCTGATGAATAATCCCCTTCACCACCTTAAGTACTTCCTGATAACAAAGCTTGTATCCTGCATAACCTGGAGGAGAAGAAAACACAGACAGCAGTGTAAATTATGCATCTAATGTCGAGGCAATGTTATGAAATAATGTGTAATTCGGCTAAGTCCATTTTAATGGGGTTTCGCTGCTAATGTTTAGTGGCTGTCGCAGTTTCTGTCATCAGGGTTTCTGCAGCTTTTAATAAGTTCAATTTAAGACTTTTCAAGAACATTATGGTTTCAATTTAGGGCCCATTTCATGCCCATACTGGCAACAACAGAACAAAAGTCGGCCTTATTGTTAACTTCAGCGTTCAACATTGTGGAATTTGATGGTAAAATGTTGCCGTAGATCACAAAGTTCTCTGGAAGGAGTTTTTTCCTTTTTTTTAAATTAAAGAGCATGAATGAAGTTTCAATTTGAGAGCACTGTATCTTCATTTTACGGTCAGATTATGTCGTGTTTTCTCCTCAAAACCCTCAAATAAACTCTGCTTGGATGACAATCACTGTCCTGTGCTTCAGTTTCAGTGCATCTCCTCGTCCTCAAACTGTTTCTGTGTGAACATGAATCTAAAACTTTTAGATTTGTGCTCAAACAAATCAGTCAAGTGCCAGCTAATCCAAAGAACTCATTGCTGCCTCTTTATAGCATTCCTTACATGCAGGACTTTAGAAGTTTTTACCTTCACCAGGGTCTCCATTTTTCACTATTATAGCTTCATATATAGTCTTATCAAGTTTTATTGCTCCAATCCATTAATTTATTCATTTAATAATTAGTATCTGCCGGTACTGAGCCCCAAACTGATATCATTTTCCTATAAAACACAGCTACACAGTGCTCACCTGTAAGTTCACTGCAGTCATTAAAACCAATCCAATGTCTACAGTTAACTAAATGACAAAGTCAATAATTACCTGCATCCAAGCTGTTCTTAGACTTATTTTAATTGTACGAAATAACAAAGTAGAGTTATCCCACTTCCACTTAGTGCAGCATTGGTTTCTGTTTGTTGAACAAAATATAAACAAGGAGACAAATTAAATATGTCTTCATAAACAGCTTCTATTTGATTCAGTGCTGCATTAGTATTATTATTGTTATGCAGTACAATCACAACTCCCCTTCCAAGTGGTATAAATAAATTAACATTCACAGTCGGAAGTAATTAAAATAATCATTTCTCTTAGTGCAACATCGTAGTAAAGCATACATACTTACATTTCAAATTAAATGCAAAGTAGCGAAGCCACCAGCGGGCCTGATAAAAGGTGTTTAGGAACCTGGTTGTAAAGCTCAGGTGCTGCATAAAAAGTAGTGTTTCGAGCTGAATCGTGTGCAGACGGAGGCGAACTACGGCACTTCTTTGGCTTCCCATACGTGCAAATGGGCTGCTCATCCAGCGGGATGAATTCAATTACCCTCTCCGTGATCGTTTTTGGCCTCGTCGCTGTCTTGAGGAGGAAGTTTCTCTCTGCTTTTAAACGTATCCTCCGGTGTGCGTTGCTTCGGTGCAGCCGTTACCTGAGCGAACCCGACTGTTTACTTTTTGGTGTCGTATCAAACTGGTTGTACTGAATGCAGCTCTGTTTACTCTCAAAACATTTACACTGGAGACATTATAAGGCGGACTGCTTTTTTTACCCCCAATTTAAGATACTTCCACACTGCGTTCATTCTAAATGCCTCCTATCACAAGTTGTGTTCTTCCCTTTAAGAAACCTATGTGACAGCAATCATAAAGCAAAGCCTTGTGCTCAATAAAGCTGATACCAAACAGCTAGAAAATGCTCCGACTGACCCTGATCCTAATCTTTTCGATCGAACTGAGACGTCCATAGATGTGCACAACAGCATGTTCCCTTCGGTGTTTGTTTACACTGTGGCTCTTACAGGAGGTTCTATTGTTTAACTGGGTTCAGGAGATCACTGCCAGCATGAATCACCCAAATCAAGGACCTCGAGTACGCAATTATTTTAATGGTGCCATCACTTTTTTCACATTTAATTTGTAAAGGCGTACTGCTGCACGGAAACACATCCGCGATAATACGGTTTGGCGTTCAAGTGTTAATTATGCTCAGTTGTGCCACACAGAAAAGAGAACCTTGGAAAATGAGCTCCATAGTTGTCCAGTTTAGCCCAACACAATAGAAATGAACAGGTTATGTTTTTTATTAGTTGATGATTTGGTGAGCGCATTGGTCATTAATGGCACAAACATGTTCCATTAGATTAACATGTGATGCATCAACATGGGGCGACTTGGCATCAAACTGCAGCTCTGTCAGTGGTCAACAACAAAGCTGACATTCTGCTGGTTTGGGGGCTTGTGACAAAAACAATCGTACACAAATCTGGAGCTGCAAGTGAGGAACTGAAGTCAAACTGAAGCAAAGGACGATTTGTGCAGCACATAGATTTCCACTGAGCAGGATCAGGGTTTAGAGGAACAAAATCTGATGTTCGCAATAATGCTCGCAAATTTAAAGGCCGTGCTCCTGAAGAAAGGAAAACAACTCCACATGTCCAGAGGTCACTGACTGGAGTTGGAAAAGTAGCTAGCAAAGAGCGAGCGGTGCTGGGGAAGGACATGGTGACAGTATTATATGATTGCTGGTGGCTTTTTATAGGGGTTTGATCTTTTTTTCTAATGTCTCAAGCGACTAACACCTTCACACCCAAAGTTCCTAATTTTCTTGTCCGAGGCGCAGCAGGCTTCGGATCTGCTATTTTCAACTTTAACAGACATTAATTCGAACTTCTAGCCGGAGCTATTTTTCAAGGAGGAGAGTTAATTGATTAATTCTGAGCAGGCTGCACTGTTTGAATTAGAGTTCCCTGATCTCGTTCTGTAGCTTTTATTACACACAAAAGATTTCCATAAAACACAGTTAAAAGAAAGACTGAGGTTAATGCAAATTTAATGAAGTCATGTTACCTGTCAAATTCCTATTTAAGACACTTTAAGGCCTAAAATTCAGATTATTGGATTTTAGATATTTATAAGGCTTTGGTCGTGTATTTTGCTCAGATCTGAAACATGACCGTGATTACACCAGAAGTTTGTAATCCGTTTGGTTTAATGTGAAGAAAATTAAAGGGAAAATCTAAATGAATGTTTCTGGAGTTCCTTTTAACAAACAGCAGCTTTTTTAAATTAAGTCTACTCACAAGTTATTATACATGAAGTGCTTTTCATGATGCCAACTTGTGCTTCCAGCAATTGTTCTTCCACCATCACAGAGAATCTTCCAGTTACTTTAACAGGTGTATCCTACATGGAAGTACTTTAATCAAGTGATATAACTGCTGCTCCTTAATGGGTGTTGTTTGATTTTAACAGTAATGCAACTGTGCCGCTAATAACGGATGCTGTGGAACAAAAGAAAAGTCTCATTTGGCAGCCCGAGCTCCTGTGTCCCCACTTCTCTTCTTCGCATCCTCTCCGGGAGGAAGAGGCGCGAAGGGAGCGAGGACAAACGCGAAGAGCGCCCTGAAAGTAAATGGGATCTTACCATCTGGGTCGCCGCTCACTTGGTACGTCAGCCCTCCAAAGCTCCATTCATCCCTGAACTTCTTTGGCAGGCAGGAACTTTTAAAAACCTGCCACTCCAACCCTGAGAAGAGACAACACAAGACTCGTTTAATCCTCTAACAGCTTCACACAATGTTGCCGTGGTCTGAGACTGACTCATCAACTAAATTTTTCTCTGAAGCCCTCCGGTGATTCATCTCCGCGTATCACTCGTATTGTTTATCACAAAGGAGGACTTGAAGCAACATCCCACATAAGCGTCTTCCTCTTGTTACCTACACCTCTCAGCATTTGGAGAAAGAGGCAGCAGGGAGGAAAATCGCCTGAGAGACCACCTTCAGTGACACAAGGCAAACACAGAGCCACACTAATGGCTGCAGCACGGTACCTTGTGCACCCAGAGCGCCCAGCGTGGCCAGCCGCGCTGCCATTAGTCCATGTCCGAGATAACTGCGCGAAACAAAGGATTGTTGTGCGGTTACAAAAGCAGCAGGAACAGACTGTGCATGTAACAAATAAGTCATTCTGAAAATAGGCCAAACGAGTGGTGTGAGCCTATTATTCACATCCTAATGACTAAACACATACTAGAAGTTTTGTCTAATTAAGAGCGGATCCAAGTGAAGTTACAGCAAAGTTAGTGGCATTTGTGACATAACTGGAGGCTAATTTGAAAACTTTTAAAAATGCTGAATAGAGATTAAATCAAGATTTGAAGGATTTGTTGTACCTGTGAGTGTATAATTCGAATGTTGAGTTGAAGAAATCAAGTCTGGCAACAAAATCAGTATCAGGAGCACTTTCGATGGTTTTCTGCAGACGAATATGAAACACAGAGGATTACTAATCACTACAGACTTTATTCAATATGTAAAGAAATTAATGAGCAACTAACCCTCAGTTTGGGCAGGAACGTGATCTGCGTGGACCCTCCTCCTAAATCCAGTATCCCCACCGTCTTCTTGCTTTGTGCTTTCAGGTGCCCTGAAAATATTTCCCAGTTTAATCCAGCAGCCACAACAGAGAAGAGCTCATCAGTTACACCTGAGATGCTATCTTCAAAAGGCCTATTTGGCACACGTGTACGAGGCAGAGGTATAAAATTGCAGCGTTCAGCCTGATAAAGATCAGAGCAAACCCTTCAGGCGAGGACCTCATAGTGTTCAGCCTCTATTTGTGAACATGGGTGTGTAATTTCAGACACAAAGTTAAATTTGGGTATACAGTAGCTGAGATCAGAAAACTTCTGTATAATCAGTTGGGCTGCAGTCTGCGAGTGGACTAGGTGGTCGATGCGCTCTCATCCGACAAAAATTCTCATTGATCGGACAATCGCCGAGGTTAGTTTCATCAAGAGAAAGGCGCTACATCGACAGCCTCCCGGGATTAATTAATAATCCATTATTTCTGACATGCATTGAACGTTCAGAATCAGCTTTAAACCAACTGACACCGCGTCGAAGAAATCATCCGTGTGGCTGCATTTTGTTCAAAAAAGATGGACAAAAAGTGGAAGGGAAAACTTGGAAAAAACAAGTTTTTATATTACAGCTCAACAACCAACATGACAGATCATCTAAAAACAGCAGCTAACCTGTTTGTTAAATCCCTCAATAGCTGATGTAGTTCTGCTTTCAGAAATCATATGAAGAGAAGCTGCTCATTTCATTATAAAATAACCTGATTAACACCATTTAATATGCTGTAAATACTACCGTTTAATGTTTATTTAGAATTAATTTAGGCTCATAAATCTAGCAGATAGAGTACACCCTTCACCTTCGCTCCAATCGAACATTTTCTCTGGCTGACTGGAATCAGGAAAAAAAAAAGAATGTGTTTAATGTTTTCAGGTGAACATGAGTTAACGGTACTTGCCTGTTAGAAAGTTCACAGTTATCCAAGCCAGGATTCCTACATTTACAGAAAATATCACAGAAAACAGTCATTTTAGTCATTTCGGAAAAGCTGACGACAAATTTAGCAACACACCAACACACGCAAGTAAGAGCTGTGATTCCATAAACAAGGCTGAAACGCTGACAAATCAATTACAGCGTGGCACGGCAGACAAAAACATTTTTTTTTCACCACATAATTACTGATTTTTAGGGTCAGAGCGACTTTGTGGTGAATAGCTATTTCATTTTTCTGTAAGTGTCATCATAAAAGACAGCTATAATCTACAGCTATTTAGCTAAATCCCTTCAGTAAACAAGGATTCTTTGGAGAAATTGCACAGCAGGCTCTCAAAGTGGGGCAGACAGCTCGGCGATGCCACCTACGAAACGCCCGCAGACAGGACGCGAGGGGCTGCGAATAAGTGACGACATCGCTGCTCGTCAGGACGGAGGGTGGGCAGACGTTACCTTCGTTCGTGCCGTTCATTATGCTGACGCTGTCGTCTGGGACCAAAAAAGGAGATTCATCAAACACGTGTTGAACCTGAGGAGAGCGAAAGAGGGAGGAGAGTCGGGGATGAGAGAGGATGAGAGCGGCGGTGGAAAGGCCTTAATGTTATCTACTGTAATGGGAGCTCATCCAGAGGTGCCCTCCGCTTGAAGGGATTAATTAATTCCCTCAGGGGGATTAATAAAGTATCATTTATCTTCCAAGGTGCCCCGGGGCTATCCATTACTATCTTATCCCCTCCACAAGAGCCTCCCGCGCTAAGCTCACAGGGCTCCGATAACAATGCTTTTCCTTGTCTCTCCACTACCTGCCATAACACTGGAAATATTCTCTGCTTTCCTGGCCGCTGCTCGGCTGGTTAAGAGGTTGTACTTTCTCATCAAAGTGTCAGACAAACTCCCCCCCCCGATAAGGAACTGCACTCTACTGTACAGGATCTTGATAGTGTGTAAACAGCACCTCGGAGATCTCGGTTTTTCACTGCGGGCATTTACAGGAGCAGCCCTGTAATCGAGCCTTTCATCCGTTCTGTTTCCACTTCGCTGTAGGATTTGACAGCTTCGACCGCAACGTTAACTCTGAGTGCACCGAAACAACAACAAATAGAACTTACTCAACATCGCTCCAGATCTGTGAGCACGTAGGAAATAGAACACTGGAAGTTTATTAGTTGTTACGGGAGCGTAATGTGGTGTATTTCACACTGCTGATGCCGATATTAGAGAAGAGAATATTGGTTGCTTTCCTCGATTTTAACATTAATAAACAGCAGCTTCGTTGTCGGTAGTTTCTTCCAAAAATGAATCTGTTAAAGGTTCTACAGGTGCGCTTCTTATGGTTGGAACTTGCTCAGAGGTTCAGGCTGCCCTAAAAAGCAAGTTCCTGCAGTTTATTGTCTCCAAAGTAATAAAGTACATTTACTCAAGTATTGTACATAAGAACACTTTCCAGTTACCTTTATACTTTAGCTCCACTACCTTTTATAGGGAAACATATACACTCCACTACACTACAGCTTTTTTTTAGGATGAGGAAAATAAGAAGCTGTAACAAAACACACAGTTATCGATTGAACCAGTTCTTTCCAACAGTTTTCCAGAAGGCAGTCGGCTCACGTTTCACACGTCTATGAGTTGTTAACAGCTTCATCAAATAGTGATTCCCCCCCCCCCCCCCCACTTTGAACTTCTGTTTCATGATTAGAGAAAAAACTAAACAGATTTGGGACCAGAACTGTCACTTATCATATAATTTGTCCATGGATTTATCTGTTGTTCCTGAATATAAACCTGGATATAAAGTAGTTCAAACCTGCAGCAGCTACAACAGCAACCTGCTGCTGACACACTGATGCTTCAATATTAACAATATAATGACGGCACACATAATAATTTATCAGTCAGAGGGACCAAACCAGGACTTTTGACACTTTAACTACATTTTGCTGCTTTGTACTTTAAGTCCATGCAGGACTGCTACTCGTGATGGAGTATTTTTACTTTGCTGCATTGGTACTTTTACTGAAGTATTTCAATACTTCTTCCACCACTGGTTCTCTTTTACCTGGTCCAGAATAGCCTGAGCTTTCTCTGCAGACAGCAGCCGAAGTCCAGCTGTGGCTCTGAGGACTAAAGGAGTTCTCTTCCACACCAGACGAGGCACCGTCTTCTTGGCCACCTTCAACAGCATCCTCACTGTTTGTCCAGCCTTTGAAAACAGACACAGCGATCACTATAAAACAGCTCTGCACAGAACTGTCTTGACAACAGGGTGACTGGTCAGAGATGAGAAAACACTTGTAAAGGAAAAGAAAAAAAAAAAAACTGCCTGAACCTTCACTTGTTTGTCATTTTGCTTTTCTCACTTTTCTCACTTCCCACTGACTTTCATTAGCAATGTGAGTCCTGCAGAGGGAGGCTACTGGCAGCGTTTCTGAATATAATGGAGAGCCAGTGGACCTTTTCCTTCAGCTCAATATGATTGATTGGATTTGACAATGAACTCACCATTTCAGGGGAGTCAGCATATGCCGACAAACCGGGCTTTATGGAATGGAACATCTCATTGTCCAAAACAGGCAGCTCCGCTAAAAGAAACAAGATCCACCCACATATCAAACACGCAGCAGCTATTAAAGGCATTAAGAGGTTTAAATCTGCTTGAATCTGACAAATTAGGCCTATTACTAGAACAGTACATGAACTCTGGCGTAACCTGTGTTCCCTGAGATGATCATTTACAGGTTTACAGAATGTGGAGGCTGTGAGAATAGTGGAAAGGCACAGATTTTCACTTATATTTTGTCGACTTCTACAGTCAAGCTTGTTACTCTGCACTAAATCAGTGAGGTTAAGTGTTTCACACACAATTTACATACATTACATAAAACCCTTCCTGCATATGATTTAACCCGCCTCTCAGCCTGGATGCTGATATTATACGATGAATTTTAAAAAAAAAAGCAGAATTACCTGATTCACTATGGATGAAGGTGTAGACGTGAATGCGCGTTCCTGTGCTGCCTGCATCAAACATCACCGCGTAGAAGATGCGGCTGTGGTTTGCCGGTCGGCTGAGACTCGGAAGGATCCTGGACCAGTCCAGGAAAGAGGTCTGGGCTTGGGCTCGGCTCAGCCTCACGACGGCGAGCAGGACCAGGAGGAGAAGAGGCATGGTGGGTGGCTTCATCTTCACTCTGGAGGAACAGGAAAACCCAACAGGTCCTCTTATTGCACCTCCTTAACGCTAATATTCACCTAAATTGTCCTGAAGCGCTGCAGAGAGCAGCTCCCACCGCTGCTGACTAGTAATGGACGTTAAATTACAGCATGACAACAGCAACAGGAAGCAATCAGGTTATTTGCACTACTGAACGTGACCACACCCCGTCAGACTTCCCAACATCAGCCTCTTCACCTGCTTAGTCAACTCCTGCAGAACATTTAGAAAACATCACAGTTTCACCGTGTTCGACTTTAATTGCTGGACTTTAATCGTTTCATCTCGGCCTTCAATCGATACACGGCAACTGAAGCGCGTCTCAACATCTCTCTACAGAAGTGCAGAATTATGGAAAGTTAAAAGCACCACTCGAGCGTTGCTGTGAGAATCTCCTGCTGAGACACTGTCACACTGATTACACACACAAATTCGAGAGACTGGGGACATTTAACTGCAGAAATCCCACCGTTTTTTAAGTTCCCATTTTAAATTTCAACTGTTTAACTTGTATTTTGGTCTGGAGCGAGTTACAAAGATTAATAGAAATGCGACAACTGGACAGTTAATGGGATCTACAGCATGACTTCACAGTTACAAGGCTGTCAAACAACTGGTCCCCCAAGCTCTGTCCCTGTATTCCTTCATTATTTATTTATCGCTGAAATGTTCCAGAAACTAAGTGGTATCTACAAAGAAGAGTTATGGCCGCAGATGAATCCCTCAAGGTTTCATTTGCCTATCGCTCCTCTGTGTGACTTCTGCACTTGTGACCTGGATGTTTGCTCATTTAAATCTGCACAAAACGACACACTAATCATCAAATTACACGAATATGCATAAACTTTCATAAACTGTTTGGCACTGCCAAATGCTCGAGGAGATCTGGTGCAATCATTTGCAATCATGACTTGTTTTTTTAATTTTTGCATCACACCTCCACACCTGCCATTAATAAATATTTATCCAAAACTCTAATGGGACTTATTTCCCAGCATGTGACCGGGGAGCTCTACTGGGGGAACGGGACCGTCATTACTCAAATCATAGAGGTTTTTTTTTTCTCCTGAGTTCCTGCAGTGTGCATGAAATGCGCAGTATGAGCTTCACTTGTTTAGCCTATTATTACTGCTCCTACTGAAACTGAAAAAACTCCAGGTAAAGGTAAAGATGCACAGATGTCACCCCTCTGAGCTCCAAAAACTGCAGGCAGGTTTGAAAGGCATGTTTTCTTTTGGATTACACCATCTATTGGAGACAGAAACTGTAAAAACAGAAAGAATCGTTGGATTTTTGACTTTTCGAAGGACTTTGAAATCATATGTGATGTACAGTTTTGTCAAAGTTATCAAGATCTAAGCTTAAAATCATGATGTTTCAGCATATTCGTTGTATACAACATGTCTTGTCTAAAAAACATGTCAGAAATTAACTGTTTGCACCAGAATCTGAAAAAAAGCAACTGAGAAATCATGACTGAAACAGCTATGACACAATAGTCACATGACAAAATCTATTTTCACTTGAACTGCAGGTTTTCACAGAGTAGAGTCAAGACAAATATGGAAAAATAAATCAGATTCAGAGCAAAATAAAACACACCGAAGCAACAAAATAAACGCTGCGTGGCTCAAAAACTGTATGCAAAGAGCAAGATGTCAGCAAGTTGTTGGAGGATACCTTCAGCACGGTGAAACATCCTTCTATAAAGTGAAAAACATCTCGTTTGTAGCGCTGGAAAAAAGTTTTAACAACATTTTTTGTATTTTAATTCAACTTTTTCTCTCTACAGCTACACCAAGGAGTTGATTCTCGAGGTTGATTCATCCATGTATTAATGAAGTTTTTTCATATTTAAAACCAGAGCGCCTTACATACTCTCTGGACGGACGATTAATACTAAAGACTTCCATTAATGAGAAGTAGGACGGTCATTATTTCTCATCTTTACTGACAGCTGACTGCCCTATCCTTCAAGATCCCCTGATTTTGCATTTTTCTTCACTTCTAAACTCGCAGCTTTATTGTTCTTGACCCAGTGCAAAACTCTCTGCTTTTCTCTACATTATTTTTGACTTGAGGTGGTTCATTTTTTGAGCATTAAAGTGTACTATCTATTTTTTATTTTGACTTGCGATCTAGATTCCTGTGTTGTGCGGCTTTTTTGATTCATGGACTGATGCATGCAGCAACAACATGCTTGGATGTCTGTTACTAAATTATCTTCTCATTACTATCAATCTTAAAACTCAAACATGACATTTTACAGGGACACAGCAGACCAATAAAAGGGTTAATGGCATTTGAGGGGAACATGTATGACTAAACTTCATAAGTCTGGCTTTGTGTACTGAGGTTTAAAGCCCTCAGGGACGTTTGTCTCTGTACACTGTGGACAGTATGTTCTGATACAGAGCAAAGAAAAAAAAAAAAAGACTTGCCAGGCGGTAAGAACAAAGATAATCTTCTGTCATTGTCACTGCCGTCTGAACGTAGCAGGAACACGCAAATGAATGTTTGCGTTCTCAAACTCAAAGTCCCTGAAATCTTTGAAGTACTCCGCTCTTAAATATGTGGATATATCAAAAACAAACATAAAATAATCTATAATAATCTTTTATTGTCATAAAGGATTAGCTAACCGTGCAATTTCATCAGGAGTTTTGTGATGCTCTGTTTTTGTAGTTATTAAAGATTCACGTCTAGTTTTTTTTCTTTATGTTTTGCCTATTTAGTACTTTTTTTTTGCATTTAAACCTGCTTTTACTATTTTATTTTTAGGTTTTGCCTGATTAATGTATTTTATACATCAAACCTGCTCTGTCCTATTATTCTTAATCACCTCTGAAGCTATTTGAACCATACTGAACCGTCTGAAAGGTGAATAAAGTTCGATTGGATTAACTGATTGCATTTTTTATGTTTTTTTTTACACCCAATTGAATGTATTTGTGCTTCGAGATGGCATAGCATGTGCAAGATCTTCCTATGCAACTGAATTAATTAAGTGGTTTGCCCAACAATGGAGATTTTATAACGAGAATAAACATACTTTTATTGCAGCATTACCAGACGTGAACCATGAAAACTTACCCATAAAAAATCTACTTCCACTGTGTCCATAAAGTTAATAATCCATTTTAATACGAGCTAACGAGGTGCCGCTGAACAGGAGCAGTATGCGAGTCAAGTGGGTAAAAATGATGCGTTATTAGAACAAAAGAGGAGGAATATGGAGCTGGTCCTCTCTATATGTCACAGGTTGATGCATACAGGACGTCAGTATTTCTGAAAAACAAACTCAGGCTCAAAACATTACTGATGCAGCTAAAGACAGGCGACAAATCAGAAAAAAAACCAACATAAAGTGTTTTAACTGTACCTTAGCACTTAGACTTTGGACCTCATATGGTGTTTTGATGATTACGGTAGAGATCACGAATTAACACATCAGTCACAAATCTCATACCGGTGCTCCTTTGGGCTGAGATCTAGTGACTGTGAAGGCAGCATATGATTCACATCATCTTCATCAAACCAATCAGTGGCTCCTCGTGCCCTGTGAATGGAGCCTGTCATCCTATATTGATTTGCAGTGACCCTTCCATCTGAAGGAACAAATGGACCAAAATTAATGCCCCCCCCACAGCCTAACAGGGGTCACTGCAGTGGTCAGTGGTCCAGGACATTCTCCTGGTCTACGCCACACATGCACTCACTTGTTGAGAATATGGTGAAGGATGACTCATCTCACCAGGTCACTTTTTCCTCATGTCTCTGGTTTTCACACCACTCAACCCTCAAACGTGCACTCATCTTTGTAATGAAGGGTTTATGCACCACAGCCTGACTATAATATCCCTCTCTGACTGTTCTGCTGACAGTCTGATCACATCCTGAACCGACGCTTTCAGTCACCTGAGGAAGAGTTTGGCTTTTTTCCTTATATATCGCACTAATGCACGAGCATCACGGTTCTTTTAAATGCGCGCTGCCGACCACAGTTTCTGGCTGAACGATTGGGGGACAGTATCCAATTGCAATTTTCCTGACAGATGTTGCGATATAATTTTTAAAGTTGAGCCTTGGCTCCATTTTTACTGCGTAAAAGAATTAAAACATATCATTAAGTATTATCACACAAGATCCCAAAAGTGTGACGATCACACAAGGAGGACAGCTGGACTTTTTAAAATCACCGACACCACAGCTTCGATTCAGGGTCAGACGTAAAGATGGCCTCACACTAAAAGCCTAGCCGGGTTTGAAATCACACACGTAAGAAAAAAACTTCACAGACATTCTTCCCTCTAATCTCAAACATGCAAACACTACCAGAAGTATTGCAACATCACTCACTATGTTATTAAGATGATCACAGCTGAGGGAGCAGTCAGGGAGCAGAGCACCACCTCATGTGGAAAGAAGATGGAAACAATATGGAGACTGTGGGGCAACAACCTGCTGTAACGCTGGTAGCACTTCACAGCGAGAAATAAACAAAAGCAGACCTGGGTGAACAAATTTAACTCAACAGCTGGCAGTATTACTACCTAACTGTTATCTAACAACATCTTAAATAACTAATGTTATAGCTTACCACCCATTACGTTATGCCTCTTGCATACAGCGAACACTTTCTCTCCCATACATCTAAATACAGACGTCACTTAAATCATGTTCCTACCAAAAGCTGAGCAGCCGTTGTGACTGAAGCTCCTGCCATCTGTGCCCCAACAATGAAACCACTTTCAAAGCCGCTTAAATCTTTTCTTCTTGACATCTCGACACAAAACCTGAATAAGCCAGACTTTAACTAGAACCAATACATTGGTATCAACTTGATAGTAAAGCTCTGAAAATGTATTTCTTATTATTTGTTATTGTACTACAGTTACTGAAAGTACCACAGCTGTCGCATGTAGTCAACTGGAGACTTCTCAATCATCCATTACATTTTTGGTAATATTAATATTTTGCCATATATCAGTAAACTACTATATGTCTTATTTAGAATATATTAGGTAGTAACAGCAGAAATGTTATGGCACAATAAAAGTTTGTTTTTTTTTTCTTTTGGCACAATATTGTTTTAAATACCAGTATTGTCTTTTTTATATTGTTTAAAAGCATCCTGCAAAGGTTTTAAAATGAAAAGCTGTATACAGAAAAACTCTTCTTATTTAAAATCATTGGTAGCAACTAGCAAACTTATGACGCCTCTACCTCAGTATGACTGGATGTTTATTGTACCATGCAGTACACCTGTGTTGTTCTGAAGCACCTGTAGTCGTTTCCTCCAATCATTTCTTTGGGTTTTCCTTTAATTTGTCACCTATATGTGGTTAAACCAGCTGACTGAGCGATAATTAAGCAGCCGACACTTGCAGCATTTAACCATTTGTTGTCCGTCAACGTTATAAATAACCAGCGCTGCAGTCAGCAGTCCGTTAGCTTTTTAATGTATTAATTAAATTCACCCGACAGCCATCCTCTGTACGGTAAACACACTTTTCTTGCCTTGCTGAAGCATTTCCTCCCGCTGACAGCTCAACACCGACGTTAGCTGCCGGTAAGTTTGCTGAGCGTCGCTTAGCTCGTCGCTAGCATGAATTGCTAAAGCTAGCCGGTGAAGTTTGACGGCAGGCTAACGTCAGCTAGCTTCCCGCTGCGAGTGACGCCAAGTTAACTGGTGGGAAAATAAACAAACACCGAACAAACTCACTGAAAACAGTGAAATATAAACTGTACAGGACCAGAGGATAGGTTAGTTTAGTGTTATGTGAACGTTAAACTCAGCTGAAGCTCACCATGATGTCCGACTGGCAGCTCTGCTCTGACTGCCGGCTCCGAGTGACGTCATCAAGACTGTTTATTTTTTTTATTTTTAATTTATTTATATAAAAACAAAACCTCCGCAGAACTTATATAATATATTAAATACAATAAATAAAATAAGGATAAATAAATAGAATAAAAATATGTTTTAAAATTAGGATAAATTCTTGACGCTCAATAATGTGCAATAACTTGGTACAATATCTACATTATCTATGAGCAATGACATGCCATTTATTACACTGCATGTTTCACTTTATTTTTATATCTGCTGCTAAAAAAGCACACTTTACATTTATACTTGCATTGTTTCTACTTATAGTACATATTATTCCCCTCATGATTAATATTGTTTAGGTCACATTTTTCTACTTCTGTTTATATTCTGGTACATATTTTCTACTTCTGTTTATATTCTGGTACATATTTTCTACTTATGTTTATCTATATATTTTATACTATACTGTTCTGACTTTGACTGTGAGCTACTGTAAAATAAACGAATCTCCTCAGGGATCAGTAAAGTATTTCTGATTCTGATTCTAAAATACACATCAAATTTTTTACCTTTATTTAATTTTTGGTGTTTTCTATATTAAGTGATTTCAGGAGACAGTTCAGTTCTCGGAGAAAAGGGAGAAAACTGGGAGTGTGCTTCAACAAACTGCTGTTTCTGCATAAGAATAATTACATATAAAGTGATTAAATGAATCAGATAGTCACCATTTGGGTTATCACAGTGACAGACGATATCAAATACTAGACGGAGTTAGCAGCTTCCAAAAGTGAGATCTGTCTTTTGGGATTTTTCACACTCAAAGAGAAGGTGAGAAATTTTGTCTGTTATGTTTAAAAAAAAGGCTGCAAGTAAAGATTATTTTCATTGCTGATGATTTTCTTGTTGTTTGGTCAATTAAATGTCTATCATTGTTTCCTAAAGGTCAAGATGACAAAAGTCTTGTATCATCCACAAACCAAAGATGATCATTTAGTGTCACAGAGGAGGAGAGAAACCAGAGGATTTGTGGCACCATTTCTTTACCACTTTGGTTGTATGTTTCAGATCATTATCTTGTTGGAAGCTCCCACGTTGTCCAAGGACAAGTTTTCTGCAGAACGCCTGATGCTTTCCTCTGCAATCTTGACGTCGTCGTTTTTTTTTCTAATGATGCCGTTTACTTTGACAAGGTTGCCTGGAAAACATCCCTAAAGCATCACATTCCCAGCACCACGCTTCACTGTTGACTGCTTCTCCTTTCTGTGTTCAAACATTTTCATCTCATCCAACCACAGAACTGACGGGCAGCTTTCTTCTCAGTCCAGCCGAGCTTCTGTGTCTCTGATTCATCAGGACGGTCTTGGTGTTTATCCTGCCAGTGCTCACATCTGGCTTCCTACCAGCCCTTTGAGATTTTGTTGTTTTTTTTTAGTGGAGGAACTTCTTGTACCTTTTGATGATTCTTTGCTCTGTGGCCACCGGCTCTTGAAAACACTTGGATAGGATTTTATAGCCCTTTTTTTTTCGTCCTCTTTTTCAGCCTAACAGCAGCTCATTCATTTATAGGGTTTAGTCATGACTTAGATTTGGCTCGTAACGGTCTGGAGAACTACTGCATCAGCTGTTTTCAGTTTATAGTGTATTAAAATGTTCTAGAGCATAATAGAATATGAATTTTCTCAAAAAAAAAAAAAAGAGGTGATTTCGAAGGATGTGAATAATTGTGGATGCGACATTTTCAGTAAAATTGTTTAAAAAAAAATAAAATCTTCTGTCACTTCCAGCCAGAAGAAGCCTCTTGGTTACGGAGAACTACACTATACAGCAACGATTAGCACGGCTAGAAATAAGTTTGGGCTTAACTGTATAATAAAACCATTTCGGCAGAAATCACAGCTCAGTTCAGTCAAATTACAGCGTCTTTATTGAAACAGTCTCCAACATCCCCGCTGTTATCTCTTCATCTTTAGGCCCGAGAAGTCAGAGGGAAGTGAAGGGGGACGAGGTCTGAAAGTAGCTCAATACCTCTGGTGAAAATAAATCTAGTACAAACCGTAACTGCAGCACAACTACCAACAGTTTTCACCCCAGACATTTTAGCATAATGTGTACACAGAATATATTCCAAGCTCATAACATGTGAAACACTGCAATTTAACCCTCGATACCATTCGTGACCGCAAGTGCTTCTTTGATGGGGGGGGGCAGTAAAAAAACACCTTAATCTGACACACAAGAGGACACACACACACTAACCCCAACACTGCTAGGATACACATTTAGAGGACGATAGCTGCAACTAGTATTTCAGTTCTGATGGAGTGATAAAATGGCTGTGCTCATGTTCTGATGTTTCTTCCATTCACATCTAAGATTCAAGTATCTACCCCATTACCTGACACACAGAACAGTCTAATGAACCACAGGAGACACCGGTGGAAGACATTTGCTGAGCAGCAGAAGCCCTGATCCCTGCGATTTTTTTTTTGTCTCCTCCTGAAGGTTTTAAGAAATGTGACGCCACGGCACTCAACGGATCATGAAAACCGTTTGACCGCGTTTAGCTCCTGATCTTCCCCTCCCCACCCCCGCCCCAGGTCAGCACAGGAAATGAGCCCGTACATTACATCTCCTTCCTCGGCTCTAAAGCAGGTGAAGGTAAAGTGTGATTTGTGCAGAAACACAGTCCAGGATGTTCAGCTAATAATCCCCCAGTATGAATTTTTCTCAGCAGTAGTAACCTTTGTTCCGATCCCCTCCCTGGGCTTCTTCTCCGTAAGGCATGTAAAGAAGTCACTGAGGGTTACGACGGACGGCGGCCGGTTCAGCTTAGCGTCCCATGGTCGGCATGGTAACAGCCGGGCTCGTTAGAGTCGCGTCCTCGGCCTTCCACTGTGAGGTCACCGTCTTGATCTGAGTGTAGAACTGGATGCCCTGGTGGTGAACAGACAACAGATGTGTCCAGCAGGTTTAAAAAAAAAAAAAAAGAACTAGTGTCTCTATTGTGGTTTCTAAATCGGAGGTTCCAGTGATTTTTCTGCTCACACATCTGGATGTTAATCATGTAAATTGTTGGGTTTTAAAATACGACCGTTCCGACGCGTTGCGATCCGACGATGTACGCGCGTTATTATGCTGTCAAACAAGCGCCAGACGCAGCTCGTACAAATCAGTTAACACCGAACCCAGACGAGTTCAATGCATTTTATTAAAGCTGCAACAACACCTCTGGGCAAAAAGGGACGCTGCTGCCTGCGCTCACTTTCCCTTTAACAAATTAGGTAACATTATATTATTGCTCCCTCGTATTTTAAAGTCTCTTTTAGAATCAAGAACTGAAAATGAGTTGAAAAAAGGGAAATAATTCAATTTTTTTGCGACGCCTCTGCAGCCTTATTCATTCACGGTGTCCGTAACGATTTTCGTAGGCAGAAAATATTTTTACTTTTCTGACAACTACTAAAAAAACGTAACACTTGGTCATTTGTGATGCTCTATATTTATTTGATTGCTGTATTGTATTTCAAACTAACTAGGTTTGTGTGCAGTTTTAAGAAAATTAAGACAGATTGAGCTCTAAATAGGAGTCTGTGTTCAACTGCACAACATACTTCTTGCTTTTGAAGCGATCAAGCTGTCAAGGCGGTAACGGTTTGGCTGCCGTCCTGCTCCAGAAACCATGAGAAGCGCTCTACTTGTATGAGCAATTCACTGTTTTCCAAAATCTAAATTGTATATTTAAGAAAACAGAACCAGTGCGACAGTCTACACAAATATTTTCCACGCTCTCATCTTTCTAAATTATCCAAACCTGGAAATTACTAAAAATCGATGTGTTTCTGTACTGTGTAGAAACCTTTGGATGCAGACTATTTGGATGATCTCAGATGTGACACTTTTGTCATTTACCTGCTTGCCATAGAAGTTGGTGTCTCCTCTGAATGAACCTCTGGAGCCGGTGAAGGAGAACATGGGGAGGGGGACGGGGATGGGTACGTTCACGCCGATCTGTAGAATCAAATACACAAGTTGTTAAGAAACCACAACTACTGCAGGTCTACAGCAGCAGTGTAATGTAATTGGCAGCATCTTCTTTAAAAGCCAGGATTAACGTACTTAACAGACAATATAAATACACAAAAATGGACATAATGCTTTGGATTAATGTCATGAAAAACAGTAAATCCCGTGTTATACGTGTATTTTTACACAATAAAAAACATCGACATTCAACTGTAACGCACAACCTGTTCCAGAGATCCACTATAAACTCGCTCCTGCTGAGTTAATACCCAAGTTTTGGGATTGTTCCACTGCTCACCGTGTTCTGCCAGGTAATACCTGACACAGTTTCAGGTTGGCAGCGTACATCCGACTTCCCTCCAATAAATATTCCCACTTCACATGAACCCTGCCTGTCTGTTTCCTTCTTCTGAAACTCGACGCCGCCCACACGAAGCTATTTACTCATCACAGGTGAGTTAGCGAAGACCAAAATAACACCAAAAGGTGACCGGTTCACCTCATGATTTGAAAATCACACCTCCAACAGACTTTTTATTTACATTCCCGTCATTTTGTTGAGCCTTTGTAAACACATTTCTCACCTGGCCGACGTCCACCTCGTGAGTGTATTTGCGCGCCGTGGCGCCGTTGGTGGTAAAGATGGCCGTGCCGTTGCCGTAAGGGTTGCTGTTGATTAAAGAAATGGCTTCGTCGAGGGTGTCGGCCTCCAGGACGACGAGCACCGGTCCAAAGATCTCCTCCTTGTAACATTTCATGCCCGACTGGAAAAAAAAAAGAACGGCAGAGTGATGAGTTTCCTCCAGCACTTAACAAAATCCACGACTTAAAAAACTCCACGAGGCATTATTAGCAGGATGTAAGGCACCATTAGGTTCATGCTGGGGAAGACGAGGGGAAAAGTGCTGTAAATGCATTTTGTAACACTTACAGCTACTTTCTATTTTAAGATGTGACACTCAACACTCATAAGCGGAAACC